GTGAGCATATCTCTAAATTAGTAATAAACTGCTTTGTTGTACTAAAAACATTGTTTGTTAATAGGCATTTCATCAATTTCAAATTGAAGAAACATCTTTGTGAAAGCCTAGTTCTCTCAAAAATCAACTACTGCCTTATAGTTTTCTATCCTTACTTAGATCAAGTCTCAATTCGCAGACTTCAACTGATTCAAAATTCATGCTGTCGCCTCATCTACGGTTTAAGAAAATATGACCATGTTTCACACTGTATTCGTAGTTTAAAATGATTAGATATTAATAGTTCATACGAGTATTTTATCTTGAAGTTCATTCATAATTTGATTATCACGGGAACTCCCGAATACCTCTTCAAAAAAATTGTTTTCAGGCAATCTGTTAGAAATCGCATGCTCAGGTATGGCAAATTATTAGATATTCCACGGCACCGTACGGCTTTGTTTACTCGCTCTTTTAGGTATAATTGTGTCAAATTGTATAACGTGCTACCTGATGCATTCAAAAATTTATCTCAAACTAAATTTAAAGTTTGTGTCAAGCAGCATTTGCTATCAAAAATGACTCTTAGTAGTAATTAAGTAGTAGTTTGTAGTTTAGATTAGTAACCGCCAGAAAAAATTTTATTTGACGTGTTGCTGAATCTGTTTATATTTTTTGTATTGTCTTGCAATATTTTTGTTTTCCTTTGGTTAGCCACTGTATATATACATGTTAAGTACATGTATTTACATTGGTTCACAACCATGAAAATAATAGGGTTAAGTGGAAGAGTAGCTATTTAGCTAAACCTCGCCCGATACTATGTAATTTTATAAATAAAGACGATTTATTATTATTGTTATTATTTATAAGGCAACCGTTTTTTCACGACTTTATTCAACATTTCAATAGAAATCACTGATATTCAGAGAGCTTTGACAGCTTCCGTCAAATTGCATTTCGATAAAGTTTTTTCCTATTGGTGCAACTGACCGTCAAATATTAATGTTGGTGAAATTAGCCCTTAGTGCCACATAACCTTGCCAGCAGCAAACAGTCGCGAGCCTAGATAAATGACTGTATGATCGACTGCACAACCTTGCATCTTGTGGACGGCCGAAGCCTAATGGCAACAGTCGCCTCTCAGCAGTTCCATAGCTGTATTTCGCTGTGAACTGTATCGATATCGGTTCAATCATGTGCACACCATCTGAACCTAAATCGATACGGACAATAAAAATATATAATATGAATATTATAAACAGTAATTTGCGTGTATTAGACTCATTAGTACCTACGCATGTATACCGAATGAACAAGGTGAGAATGCGATACCTTGAAAAAGTATCGGCCTTCGTTATGCTGTGCCGAGCGCCCAAACCGACAAAGAGTAAGTCCGAAGCTGCACACAAGCGCAGATTGCGCGATAGCTCTATTTCTCTTACTCACCTACAGAGGATCTATAAAAGAATTCATCAATCCTGGTGGTTCTAGTAAGGATATTGGAAAACTGTCATCAAATTATTGCATTGTCATCGGTCCTTGACACGTGTGCGAAGCTTCAAATTAATCATACTTCTGGAAATTGGCGAAATCTATACAGGTGTGCCAGTATTTGAATTGTGGAATCCTAGTCCTATCAACAAGTTAGATGACAAATATAACATTCTAACCCATTTTCTAACTCAGTATTAGATAAATATGATCAGTTTGGTGAAAAATTAAGGTGTATTTCCCTGAACTCGTAGATCACTTCTTTGATGATAGGGAAAGGGAGTCACTACCATTCCTTGGACTTTGTTCTGGAACTTTTGAAAGACAGCAATATTGCTGTTGCCTTTTATGACTTATACGTCCAATCTGGTTTTAACAAAGCTTTGCAGAGGTCCAAGGTGGACCTTGTTGCACACCTTGGACTTCCCTCCACTAACCCAATGCATCTCTGTGAGTTTGAGGTCCATTTGTCTCCTTCTTGAGATGTTCATTTGCCATGTTAGCCATGATAGCTTTTAGAGAAAAAACAAAAGTTTTGAATTTAGTCTGGCACACAACACTAGAAGCATCAGAGACCCGAGGCCGTTGCCATATCGGTAAAATAAAGCGTGACCCTCGACCGCATGTCGGTGTGTGCGTGGCTTGAGACAATCCGTTTAGGTCGGTCAGTCGGGTAGCAAGAACTTCACGTACCAGTTGTACCCTATATAAACGCACAAAAGCTGGGTCAGTTTTGAACGAGTATTGCAGAGAGAATTGAAGGAATCGATTCTAACTATCCCAAAGAAATTGATTGCAACAGTTTTGGTTCCCACTCCAATGAAGTCGATTTCGAGTCAAACGAATTCGACTCGGATTCCGATTAATTCTGTTCTGGTTTATGTGGTTTTGGTGAATAATCACGAAACCTGGACGAGGTTGCGATACCACCGCTTAAAACCAGATTATATTTGAATCAACTATTTTAAAGCTAAGATTTGGATATCAAATTGTGGTGTGGAGTTTTGGATTTTGTATTCACATTAATTTGCCATTTTAGTGTTAGCAAAAGGAAATCGAGAAGGTGAACATAATAAATATAAGTAAATCGTTTCTTTTTAATTCCTCACAATCTGATGTATAAGAGCAAAATGTAGAATGATGCACCTACAGGGTTTGTCCGGAAAGTAATAGGACTGAGTCGATTTAAAAAAATGTATTGAGCCAATCGTTACAATTTTAAAACCTTTCAAAATAAGCTCCTTCTGCGTCGGCGCAGCGCTGCTAGCGCGATTTCCAAGTATTGAAGGCGTCACGGAAGGCATTCTTCGGAATAGCCTTGAGAGCCGCGGTGCATGCTGCTTGGATCCCCTCTGTCGTTTCAAAATGCTTGCCTTTCATCGGCCGTTTCAGCCGAAGAAATAAAAAAAAGTCCGGGGGGGCACATCTGGGCTGTAGGGCGGCTGCGGAAGCGATGGGATGCCGGCCTTAGTCAGGTAGCTGTTGACAAGAAAGGCGGTGTGAGCCGGGGCGTTGTCGTGGTGCAAGTTCCAGTCGGCTGCGATGTCTTGGCGGACCCGACTGACCCTTCGTTTGAGTCCCCTGAGCACTTCCATGTAAAAGTTGACCTTGACGGTTTGTCCAGGAGGAACAAATTCATGGTGGACGATGCCTTTGATGTCAAGAAAGACAATGAGCATCGTTTTCACTTTGGATTTGCTCATTCTTCCCTTTTTTGGGCGAGGAGACGCCGTCGTATGCCACTCGGAAGATTGCCTCCTTGTCTCGGGATCATACTCAAAGATCCACGACTCGTCACCTGTGATTACGTTATTCAAAGATTGGGGGTCACTTTCACACATGTCCAAATTTTCTTGGCACACTTCCACTCGCCGCAATTTCTGGTCGTGAGTGAGCACTTTTGGGACCATCTTCGCGCACACCTTGCGCATGATCAAATGCTGTGTCACAAAGTCATGAACCACAGATTTTGCTAAATTTAACATCTAAGCAATTAAACGAATACTAAGTCGAGGGTCTGAGTTCAAAACTTTGCGCACACGAGTCACATTATCGGTGTTTGTCGAAGTCGAAGGTCTTCCAGCACGGTCTTCATCAGCGACCTCTTCCCGGCCCTCCAAAAAGGCCTGGTGCCACTGAAACACACCACTTCTTGCTAAAGCAACACTTGGGTAAGGCTGCTTGATCATATCAAACGTCTCTGTCGCAGATTTACCGAGTTTCACACAGAATTTAATCGTTTACCTCTGCTCTAACGAACGCTGCATTTCCGGCTTGCACCACTCACAGAAACACGTCGCGCGCCCTGACTCTCCAAGTACTCGGAGACAACTGACCAGCCGCTCATTCGTTAGCTAGGAACGCCCTCTACCGAATCCAGTCGGTACGCGTACGCTCCGAAGTACAGTCATGGCCGAAGAAAATGAGTCCTATTACTTTCCGGACAAACCCTGTATTTAACACGTTCAGTGCTATATGTTAACCAAAAACTTCACGGAGGGACGAAATTTTTTTTTAGAACATTACTATAAAAATATTGCTGATATGTCTTCAACATAATTAGAATGTAATAAAAACCCTCCCTTCAGTATCTTTTTTATATGACGCACTGGTGCGTCAAGCGCACACTACACCCAACTTTGGTCCAGTATGCTCATGACGCACTGGTAAGTCATAAAAATATTTATTGTAATACTGCAAACACATTTTACTGATCATCAAATAAAAAAGATAAAATACGCCTAACTAAAATAGAACAACATTTCATACCCAAGACACACATATATATTAGGAAATTAAATGCAAAACTCTAATGTGAATACAAAAAACTATTTTATGCAAAGCAAACTTCAAGTTACATATTGATAAACGTATTGATATCTGAAAGTATTTTAAATACAGGTAAACCTGAATAAATGTTTATGATAAGAAAACTAAGCCCGATGATATTCTTCGAAGCATCTTCCAACACAATCCTGGGGCATCAGGGCATTTGGTACAATGATACGAGGAATCTCTTCTGATTTTATTCTGCCAACACACTTTGCAACGCTTTCGCATTGTTCTACCATCTTTATTTCTAGTTTCAATTTTCTCCAGTAAATGATGTGTAGTTTGTTTTGCAGGTTTAGGATTGGTATTTTGTGGTTGAGGAAAAATTTTTTCAAGAACAGCCATACGAAAATAATAATATAGCCGCTTTTGAGAGTGCTTGTTATATAAAATATAAGAATTGAAAAGTAGTAACTGAAATATATGTACCCCAGTTTGTTATACCAGCGCAACGTTTTCCGAACACATGATATCATCTTATCCATGTGGTCTATGCCGCTCATGTATCTATTATACTCCACTACAGGTAACTGCTTTTCCTTTGTCACATTTCTTCTGTTTTCCGCTTCAATTAGGTCGTTTTTGAATCCTGTAGATATATACAACACGTCCCTTTTATCTCTCCACTTCCCAATCATAACGCCATCCTTATAAGCAGCAAAGGTAAAACAAACCTTTTTTAAGTTTTATTGTGGTTATGTTTTTGGAGTGTCTTTCCTTCCGGCTTTCAGGGTCCCCGTACAGTAAGTGTTCACCTCAAGTAACTTTTTTGCTAAGCTATAACTATTGTAGAAGTTGTCCATGAATACAGCATGACCAGCATTTAGGTAATTTCTCATCAAATATAAGACAACCTTTGCTGTATGTCCAACTCCTCCATACGCATCTGTTTGTCCTGTGTATACCATTAAATTCATTATTAGACCATCGGAATCCGTAAGCATATAGCTTTATGCCATATTTGTGTCGCTTATTTTTCAAGTACTGTCTAAAGACAAGCCTCCCCCTCCAGAGCAACATTGATTCATCTAAAGAGAAGTTTTTATTGGGATAATAAATCCTTGCCATTTTGTCTTGAAAGTAATTTAGCAGCGGACGAATTTTGTATAAACGATCTTCAGGCACATTTTCACCTACACCAGGATTTTCAGCAAAATGCAACTTCGCAAAATGAGAAAAAAACGATCTCGGCTCATATATCTTGAAAAACATGTAATCCCAAACAGCCAGTGGGTTTTCCAATAATCTTTCAAGACATTGCATTTGATGGTTCCTGTATGAAACGTAAGTCCTATGAATTGCAACAGCTCATCTTTGGTAACGTTTTTCCAACGAGATATTCGTGAATTGGTCAGAGCTCCTTCGCTGAGGAAAATAGTTTCCGCATATTTATTTGTTTCATCGACAATAAGTTACAGTAAATCATCATCTAATAACAATCTAAAATAATCATAAGGACTTGCGTTTAGATCAAAATCAATCAGGAAACCGGGTGTTTTTGTAAAATTAATGTCCTTCATTCCGGCACAAGTATCGCTCCAAACCTCATTCAAATCGTCAGACGCAGTTGTTACATTAGAGTCATCAGGCGGAACAACAGCATCATCATTAGTAGGTATATCTAAAACAAAAATTATTAAATTATCACACTGATACAAATAATATGTTTAATATAAATCTTACCGTAATCGTTCTCTGAAGATGAATCAAGGTCACTGGGGATGTAAGAGCCTTCGATGTCGGAATCATCCAAGTCGAAATCCGAATCTTCAAGAATACGTAAGAGTTCTTAATCTGTAGGGTTATTCTCATTTCTGACTTGAATTTTACGTCTTTTTGTACCTGAAGTACTTGCTTCACATAGCTTTGGGTCACTCACGATTCACTATGTATAATCAAATAACCGATAATCAAATTTTGAAACTACGCCAATTTAACGTAAACTGAACCTTTCTGTACATGCTCCGTTCGTAATAGTTTCCTCTCGACAAGTGCTGAAATACTACTGCCAGTTATGTTTAACGGCGTAGCTGACTCACCAGTGCGTCATGCGCACTCGACATGTTAACTAACATAACCTCAAAAATGTAATTTGTGCAGAAAATGTGGTTTTGGGCTCCTTCAGACTAAAGCAAAAAACCAACTGCGGTCAAGGGTTCTTAGGTACTCCATAACGATACAATAATAATTGTTGGCACTTGAAATAGTTCCCGAGCTAGCTCTCACAGGTTAATGGGACGAAGACAGTGTTACGACAATATCACTTTATTTACTAAAATAGAGGCCGCTTTACAACTCACACTATACAATTCGAAATAAAAAATAGTATAGCAGTAACAATGTTAGTACATCCGTCGGCCTGGGCGACGATATCTGTCCTCCTTCTGCCGATGCTCATGCCCGTCTCTCCTCGCATTCACGTACAGTCGCGCTGTTACCGAACCTCTTCACACTGAAGAACCAACTACAAGTGCTATACGCTTCGTATCTACGAACTTATACGTGGGAAGTGAAAGGTAATTCTGTCATCCTTGATATGTCTGACAAGTGGTTAGATTTGCTATCCAGTTGCATAACTATGTACCTACCTAACCCATACTAAACGATTCGGTTGATCCGATAGCTTCACGCAAACCATCCACTGCTCTAATAAATATTCATTTGAGATAATCTTTATAAGGGTGGCATGATAAAGGACTCTTAATTAGTCTCCAATAAACGTTAATTTAGATTATTGAATCGCCTTTAAAAGGAACCAGCCTGCGTACAAATTCTCGCAGTTATCGGCGCAACACGGGAATCGTTTCAGGTACCAGCAGATTGCTTAAGTGCTGAAGCTGAAATACTGTCGAGCGGGCAGGCGACCGGCCAAAAAATCGCTTAACGCATATTCATGTAGTCCAGGACAAGAATGTATTTGGTCCAAATTTTCGTTATTAAACTTTACCAACGGGACCCAACGTGGAGATAACATCAGACCTCCACAAATATCACTGATAGTTGGAATTTGGCACGCCTTCTTAAACCAAACACCGTTTATGGAGTAGCACTCCTTATGGTACTCTCACACATCGAGTATTTGGGGAATGCCCCATGTTTTATTACAGACCATTTAAAGAAAGGGCCGATACCAGTTGGGCTTCAGTTATTAACGGTTGAGATATTATGAATTTTATCTGAAAAATGAGCGAATTTATGCAACAGACAACTTAAATGGATCAAGTGAGCCAAACAAGCACATACAACTAGTCCATATGCATCCTTTCCCTGCCCTACCGGTAGTTACTGTTCACATGGCAACGTTGTTCCTTCCCACATCTGCGCGGCAGTGCCCACCATGACATCGCTGCAGCGAGTTCATTTCGTGTATATGTTTTGTGCGCCACAGTACGGATAGATTAGTTAACCGGACCAGTAGGCTGAGCTTAGAAGGCAGGAGTCCGAAGTTGAAAATGTTTCATATCATTCTCAGTTTTAGAGGAAAATGTACAGGGAAATCTATGATGTGTGAGCAATGGCAATATTTGCATAGAATTACCGGGGGTGGAAGCGTATACGCGTGTACCCCCAATCCCCAAATTTCAAGTCCTACAAATTTTTTTCTGGAAACGATCAGGATCCTCTGAAATATCAAAAAAGCCTTTTCCGTGAATATAAATTTTTATGGTTTAGGCCTTAGCTCCGCCGCCACTGGATCGATTTTCAAAAACTACTAAGCTCTTTCGCCCTTTCGTGACTTTGTGTGAAAATTTACTTCCCAAATGACTGGTGTGGTTTTTGGTGATGTACATAGCATATCCAAAAACCATATCTCATTTTTCATGAGTACAATCCGCTCAGTGGCGTAGAAAGTAAAAATACTAAATTTTGACCTGCTGCACATCTGCTATCCTGACATCTGACAACCTAACCTATTCTTTTTTAATTTTCTGGTCGAAACCGCACAATGCATTTTTCTCAAAAGATAAAATACTTCTGGACCTTTTGACATTTTTGGATTCCACTTTCCACAAGTTCCTTCCAGGCATAAAATTCAAGGGCTGTTGTCTGAATAGTTTTGTAGTTATGGCAAACGCATAACATGGTTGGAAATAAATAATCACATCGTCCAGGGAAATGTAGCGGACAGGGAACAGAATACATAAGGTATTTTTCGATATAAGGAAACACGTACCAACAAATACAAAATCATCATTTATTCAAATATTCCAATTTTAGTTTGGAGGGCGAATTTTGGAGCATAATTGATTAATGCAATTAGTATTGAATTGATTTAGGCTACTGGCATTATTCTTAATGTATTTTCTTTGTCAGGTCTTGACTATTTTTAGGGATCAAGTTTATCAGCTCCTTCAAGTGATACTATTACTACGTGTGAATTATTAAGATAATCCATAAACTGGTAGGCACCCTTTTATAAGCTAGGATTCAAAATTTTGTTTCTGTCACTTTTTAACATACGAAATGAGGTATTTCATTTTTATTATAAATCCCAGCTTTTTATGTTCAATTTAGTTGAAGAACTTTCTTTTATCCCTTGGGAGACCTTTGATTTTAACGATTCAAAAATATTGAGCTATGAAGTATTATCTTGTGTATAGTCCTAGTGTGCATTTAACGAAAGATTGAAAATAACTCAAAAACTTCATAAATAAGCACCATTAATTTTTATATATATATATATATATATAAATGGATGAACTGGGGTGAAACTGATGACGAAATGTTTTAACACAACGCTCACTACTCTAACTGTCAATATAGCAGGTGTACCAGTACGTATTTTGAGATAAAATACCCAACAGCTCATTTTCTAACAGACAAAACCCATAATCATGTTATTTCAATTTTCTTCTTTTAAAATATTCAATCGAAATATATAATTGAAAATGTCGTACTTTGCTTAAAGAAAATCAACTTTGACATGTGGGTTAATACTGTGCAAAGTCGGATGCATATGGAACGCACTCCAGATTCCTATAAAACATTTCCTAAACATCTTTTAAATTAAAAATGGTATGTCATTTAGCTCACCCGAGACCGCTGTGAAGCAATATTGCTGACAGTTTTGTAACGGCACAAAGTAATATTTTTGTGAAGGTGAGAAAACTTATATTTATTAATACGAAAAAAGCATTTTTGTCTCATTTTGATGGAGTGGAACGGTATTGAGAAAAGCACTCGTCTTTCGGCACTGTTCCTATCCATTTACATTTAGCCATTTCCGAAAATTTTGAAATATCGTCGTTGTCTTGATGGAACCCGATACGTAACAATTTCTCCACATCGAAGCTTTCTGAATATCTGTATAGTCAAATATGACCTGACGTACAACAGTTTCATAATAACTCTAGTAATTCTGTAGAGATTTACTAAAAATCGGTGTGGCTGGAAGCGGAAAGTTTGAAAGAGTTTTTATGTCATTCTGTGAAAAATGCTTCTAAATAAATAGGAACGTTCATGAAAACAACGACGTCATGTTAAAGCACTAGGCCACTATGATGGATCCAATACCAAAATTGAAAGTGGTATTGAAACCCAAATCAAAAACAACACATTTTACCGATGTCAAATAGCTAAACTTGTTCTAGCCCAGTGATAAAGGTTTCCAAAAACGTCATTTTTGAGACACTGTGAATTGTAAAAAACAGTAATATTGCGTTCGTTTCTGGTGAATTAAGTGAGTTGCTTGCTTTACGTGGATCACCATTCAAAAGATGCTGCCATTCAAAAAGTATTCAAAAAGGGATATTCAGTGGCGCTCGTTGGTGCTTATTTCCGTAGGACATTTTTTTACGAGAAAACCTGTAGCATTAGTTTTTTTCCTCCGTTTTCAACCGAGAAAAGTTCATCTCACTCTGTAATACCCTGTGTATTATTAAGTCACCTCAAAAAACAGTTTTTAGGTGTACTGTAG